AGAAACTTTAATGGATATAACAACTTCCATCTCATAATATTACTAAATATCAGAATTACATTGGATTATTAAATGTTTTTTGATAATTTGAAATGTAAACGAGCGTCTCTTGTCTGAAAGTAAATTTTCATTCCTGCAGAAGCTTCTTTCAACGTCTACTGATGTTATAGGAGTTTACTTGAAAAAGACGGTCTCACTTACTGACAATTCTTCAATTTGAAAAGATGTTGCTTCACCTGTTAATATCCTATAGATTTTCTTCATTGTTTGGAAGCCAGTGTAATAATGAAAATTGATAAAAAATAATAAAAATTGGAAAAAATTAACAAAAAAAAATAAACAAAAAATGCATTTAAATGCAAAATGCGCCCCAAAATTTAAAGAAAAATGCCCTATAAATCTAAAAAAAATGCTCTAAAAGACAAAAAATGTCCAAAAATGCAAAAAATGCAAAAAAATGTAAATGTCATCAAAATCCGGGCCTTAGTTATCATAATACATATATATTATTGCACAGGGAGAACACGCTATTTTGGCGTTTTTATACATTATTAATTTTTATTTTGAGCTTTTATTTTCATTCAAATTTGAATGCTTTTGTCAATTGCTAAAGATTTCTCAAAGTTAATTTTAAGAAATCTCAAAAGAATGCAAACAAAAAGAAAGAGTTCCAGTTGAAGTTTAATTTAGAAATGAACAGAAGAAACTAAATCAATATTTAAAAATAATACTAAAAAAATTTGAATTAACTGCTAATTTGAAAGATATTGAATAAGATCTTAAAATTACTGAAGATAAAAATCCATCAGAAATAGATTTAAAATAAAGTTAAACAATTTAAATGACTTTGAATAATTTCGTGACAAGAATAATTGAATAATTTTAATTGATAATTACAATTTAATAGTTTTAGTCTTCTAATATTCTGTTAAAAACTTAAATATAACAAGTTTTAAATTTAACTACGTATTTTTACACCTTTCTTACCTTGACAATTAGGGTTTCCATACATTGTAAAATAACAAATTAGTTTATACCTGCTTCACTAAGCATTAGGTTCATTTATTTCTTTTTCCTCATAGAATCAAATTCTGGTGACTCAAAGTGGGTTAACACTAAAAAATTTAATCTCATAAAATTGACTCACTAACAAAAATTTATTAAGTAAAAATAAGCTTCCACGAAAAGGTATTAGATTCTTTTAATTGCTTTGAAATCTAAATTAGTGTAGTCAATCCACGCTGTTCTCTGGGCCTGGATTTAGTGCAGGATCCTTTTTTTGAACATTAAGAAGGATGAACTGTTTTTGAACAATAAGAAGGATTGCTCAATTTGGCAGTAGTTGCCAGCTAAATTCTACACATTTTATTGTTGCAATGCAGCTTGCAATCGTTGTGTAAGTACCTTCAAGTACAAGTGGCATACTTTGCTGCCATAATCCGCAAAATTATACTTCAAAAAGATATCATTTTAAGAAAATTTTGACTAAGCTCAGGTTTCTAAATCCTACGCGAACACAAGTTAAAAAATTTAGTGATTTTCATCGTAAATATGACAAATTAGATTTTCAAATTAATAATTTCGGTATCAAGAAAATTCTTATTCGCAAAGGTAGATCCACGAAGATATAGTTTATCTTAAGAAACCGATTATGGCTTAGTTCAAATTTGGAATATTACAACTGTTCACATTTTCAAAATGTAACATTCTACCACCTAACTAATCTTACCCAGAAGCAATATTTACCCCCTTTTAATAAGAAAATATTATAGACGTCAAAATTCGAGAATTCCGAGCACTATAAACGTTCTTGATCTAAGATTGAACGTTAGTAAAGCGCTGGGTGGTTTTTCAGGGCACGGACTTGCAATCTTTAGTTACAGTCCAGGACCTTAATCTAGCCCACCTCAGCTTAACTAGAGCGAGATGAATAATTTTTGTGCTTTAAGAAAGAAATCAGGCTGCAAACGCAAGGGTTATTCAGAGACTTCGGGTCACGGACTTGCGATCTAGCGTCGCAGTCCAGGACCACCCAGTTCTTTCGATACCCCGAGGCTTACTGCACCGAAGAACGGAAAAGTTCCTAAGCGGCTAACAAGTGTAAAGCTCGAAGAGGGGAGTGATATACGGCCGTTCTGCTCCAATTCGGATTTCACACTTGTAGAGACCATCAACGGAAATTTTCCGTTTCATAACACGTTCATCAGTGATTCACAACGACATCGCGATGCATTTGCAAACATCAGGAATTTGCTTCATTAAATATCGTACAAAATCAATAAGCCAAAAATTCTTCCTTGATAACATTCATAGTGCTAAAAATCCTCGTTCAAATTGTATTTAAAGATATCCCCTATTTAAAATAACGACAGCTTCGACAATTTAATGCTATCAGTGAGACTCAAAAAAACTATAGATAAGAGAACTCTAGATCAGAGAAAAATGTGGATTTATCTGAGGATTTATCCAAAAAATGATCGGATGAAGTTTTAGCTCCCCAAAACATGTCCACCAGCACCATATCACCAAGACTGTAAATTCTGAAAAATACACGACACAAAAGCTGTACCTATGCACAAAAAATGATAAATTAAATCTAAACTAATGAGGTAGAATTAACCGATATTATGGATAGTGTTCTCTACACTAAGGAGCGCTGCTGGCCCTTGACTGCCTATACTTCCAGGTTACTGTTTCTTGGTGTATTTTAAAACCAACTTGATCACAATATGATGATCATTGAAACGCTGAAAAATGAAGAATATATTAAATGAAAAGTTCCTGGAAGAGCAAAGAAAGAGAGAAGTTTATCGTCTCACTTACTAGGCCAGTAATACTGCGATTGAACACTTATTTGTCATTTATAACTTCAAATTGTTCCTTTTTTCATAGACCAGTTGGATGATTTATATAAAAAATGATCCAATAAAGTTTTAGTTCCCCAAAACATGTCCATTAGCACCATATCGCGATGAATAAAAAATACTGAAGCAATATTTACCTCCTCTTAATTAGAAAATATTAGAGACGTCAAAATTCGAGAATTCCGAGCACTATAAACGTTCTTGATCTAAGATTGAACGTTAGTAAAGCGCTGGGTGGTTTTTCAGGGCACGGACTTGCAATCTTTAGTTACAGTCCAGGACCTTAATCTAGCCCACCTCAGCTTAACTAGAGCGAGATGAATAATTTTTGTTCTTCAAGAAAGAAATCAGGCTGCAAACGCAAGGGTTATTCAGAGACTTCGGGTCACGGACTTTCGATCTAGCGTCGCAGTCCAGGACCTCCCAGTTCTTTCGATACCCCGAGGCTTACTGCGCCGAAGAACGGAAAAGTTCCTAAGCGGCTAACAAGTGTAAAGCTCGAAGAGGGGAGTGATATACGGCCGTTCTGCTCCAATTCGGATTTCACACTTGTACAGACCATCAACGGAAATTTTCCGTTTCATAACACGTTCATCAGTGATTCACAACGACATCGCGATGCATTTGCAAACATCAGGAATTTGCTTCATTAAATATCGGACAAAATCAATAAGCCAAAAAATATTCCTTGAGAACCTTCATAGTGCAAGCAATCCTCGTTCAAATTGTATTTAAAGATATCCCCTATTTAAAATAACGACAGCTTCGACAATTTAATGCTATCAGTGAGACTCAAAAAAACTATTGATAAGAGAACTCTAGATCAGAGAAAAATGTGGATTTATCTGAGGATTTATCCAAAAAATGATCCGATGAAGTTTATGCTCCCCAAAACATGTCCACCAGCACCATATCACCAAGACTAAATTCTGAAAAGTACACGACACAAAAGCTGTACCTATGCACAAAAAAAGGATCAATTAAATAATCTAAGCCAATAATCTAGAATAAACCAATATATTTGGAACAGATATGGTGTTTTCTACACTAGGGAGCGCTGCGAGCTTTTGGAACTTTCTTAGTCTGAACAAATGAGCATATAAGGAGAGGTAGGTGTTTGGTCGTAGGAAATTTTTCAAACAAAGTCAAACTGATTTTGAAACCTTTTCCAATAGTTTGTACTTTGAAAAACTTAGAAACTGTTGGCTTCAGAAGTTCTGAAAGTGTTTAGAATCAGGAAAATTCTGAAGTGGTTGGTACTTTGAAAAATTTGTAAGTTTTTTAAAAAAATGGGTGTACAAAGAATTACATTGCACATGCTGTAAGTTAAAAATTTTCATATTGTCAGTACTTTGAAAAATTCTCATGAGGATGGTACTCAGAAAATTTTTGTCTCTTCTTTCGAAAGATCAAGTTTTTTGTACTTTTGAACAAGGAATGATTTACAAATTATATTGACTTTCAAAAATTTTTCGTGCTTAGAAAAATTCTGACTGTTAGTTTTATAAATATTCATAAGTTGCTTGAAATCGAAAATTTTATGACTCTTTAATAAACAGAAGATGCTTGGTCTTTTAAAAAATTTTCAAATGTTTTGTAATTGCAAAAACACTGTGTTCATACTTTACTTAGAAAAATTCAGATGCATATTTACTTCAAGTAACTTTTAAATTGCTTTGACTTTGAAAAATTTTCAAGTTTTTAGTACTTCGAAATGTTCTGCAATTGTTTAATCGCAGAAACTTTTTTAATTTGATAAAAACGGCTATATACAGAGTAGTAGTAGTAGTTGGTTTTGGAAATTTGCTTCGACTTCGAAAAAATTTCAAATCGTTTACATTTAGAGAAATGCTGTTGGTAATAAAAAGATTTTTAAACTGATTTTCACTCATAGAATTTTTAAATTTTTTGCACCTAAATGATTAAAAATTTTTAAGTTCAAACATTTCATAAAGATGGAAAAAAAAACGTAGATTCGCAGAAGTTAGAAAAATTCAACTTAATTGGACTTGTTTTGTATTTGGAATTATTCCTAAATTCTTGGAACATAAAAAATTCTTTTAGTTGGGAAAAACTGGTATTTAAGAAGTCACAGGAGTATCTTTTTCTTAAAAGTGTTTTCACTTTGAAAAATTTTCCAATTATTTATACTATGAAAAATTCTTAATCTGTTAACTTTAGAATTTAGATATATTCTGAAATTGTTTGAATGTAGAAAACTTTATAAACTTTTTTTTTTCAACGAATGAGTTGAAAATTTCTGATTTCTAACTATTGAAACTTTTTTATACTTAGTTTACTCAACTTTAAAATTTTTCCTTTGAAAAAGTTTCAATTTTTTGTGCTTTGAAATAATTTAAATTTGTTTAAACATTAGTAGAATGGGTAGACTCGCCCTATACGAAAGATTTGTCAGCAGTTCTATAAAATATACAGTAACAGCGTAACTGTTAATATTTTCTAAAATCGAATTCACAGCTTTAAAGAGGGATAAATAGAGATTACGAAACACCTATTAAAAGCCTTTTTTCTTTAATATTTACAAAAGTTTGACCACTTGAAAGTTGACAAACTGAAAAAATGGGTAGACTCGCCTCGGTTTACGGTAAGAATATTTCTAAGTACAAAACATTAAAAAAATTTTCAATGTACCAACAACTTCAGAATTTTCCTGATTCTAAACATTTTCTGAATTTCTAAAGCAAAACAGTTTCGAAATTTTTCAGAGTACAAAAAAAGGAAAAATTTTTCAAAATCCAAACAAGTTGAAAAATT